CTCTCTCTCATATCAATAGCTATCGGACACCAGTTGTCCGCTAAGACCCTCACGAGTGCGGGTCATCTCCAACACACACACAGACTGACAGCTGATCCCAAACCTCAACACAACAATCAACGCATATGTAATCGCATACCGACTGACGCCGATCTGATCCGCAACGATGTCTTCGACCCGTTAGCTGCGGCCGTCGTCGACGACAAAGTCTTAGCCGCCGCTGTCGTGGTTGAGGTCAAGCGCTTCCGGCCGGTGGACAGCGATTGTCTACCCGGCGGCGGCCGCGACGGCACCGGCCTTTGGCGGAGCGGCTCGTGATTGGCCACAGCGGCCGTAGCGGTGATGATATCAGTGCCAGCGGTGGTCGTAGTGGTAGTGGTGGACATCACTAGAGCTGATCCCCGAAAGTGATGTCTCTATAATTGTGTGTCAAATGAAACGCTCATTGAATTCAATACCAAAACAAACACTCAAAGGGTTATTGTATTGACATTTCGTTCATAAACAACGTTCACAATTGTTGAGGGGTTTTTTGATCCCTTAATAAATCATTGGAATAATGTTTTATAAATAATTAAGAGACTATATAATGGCAAACTCCCCTTCGCTATAATCAGTACGTTATTGACGTATAGCAAATACTATACCATTCACATACTCTGTGACGAATTAATGATTACACTTTTATCAGTCCCCAAAAGTTAATAAATATTTTACTTTAATAAAAATAAGTTTTAATTATTAGCTATATTAATTTTTAAATATTTTAATTGCTGCATTTGCATTTGTAAATAACACTAAACTAATGGCTCATAAAAAAGCTGAACTACTGAGCGTTGAAACACACATTTATGTAAATAAAGTATCAAAGTTTTATTACCGTAAAAATGCTTTAAATGTTTAATTAATTAATTCAATAATTAGTTGATGTAATATTTAATAAGTTATTTTCATATTAATTGTCCCCCATTTGATCATAATGCTATATAGTAATTATTATTTATTCATTAATGTAAAACTGTTTTAATAATAAAACAAAAAAGTTTTTATTTAATTTCGAGATTAGTTTTTGAATAGCATTTTCAATAAATAGACGTATAATTGAAAATTAAGTGTTCATTGAATGCTTTTTAATGATTGTTTTATAAATTATTTTATATAAAAATGAGGCACACATTGGAAAGTTACAAATCCTGATAATATTTAATACATGTGCAAATGTTTTAAACTCTAACTCTATTTTAAACAATACTATCTATAAGACAGGTCTCAGCTCTTTGTTAAGTCTTGCACTTCACGAGCGGTCACTTTACTTACGGTCCGCAACCAATTTGTCCGCAACTGTTGTCATCCCAGCCATAGACCCGACCATCACTTGTGAGGGCCAGAGTGTGTTGGAAACCACAACTGATTTGTTGGATGTTTTGATTATTAAAATATGATATAATCTCTGGTTTATAATAAACTGTTTGTATTTCATTATTAATTATTACATTTCGTGCCAATTGTCCACAACTATTGCATCCAAACCCATATATAATATTCATATCATTCACTGCTAACACAAAACCAAATCCATTGACAAAGTATTGTATGTTTTGGTGACATAATTGTGGTATCAGTTCTGGTGATAGTATAGGACTGTTGTGACCAAAACCCAGACATCCATTGCTATTCTGACCCAAATTACAATATGTCGGACAGTGAAGACAACGGATCCAATGTCTCATTCAATCAGGTAATGACATCTCCATTGACGATACAATTAATCCTTGATTTAATCATTGATTTGAATGACAGACAATCGCCGAAGACATGGCTCAGGAGGTCGAAGACATGTATCCGGAGTTGGATGATATGGAGTCGGATGTGGTGTTTGTAGTCAATGGCCACCGAATACCCGCACTTAAGGCCATCTTCGCCCTCAAGAGTCGGGTCTTTCGGACGATGTTTGCGCAGCCGTTCGCGGAGTCGACCGCTTCCGAGATCCCGATCGACGACCCGATGATTACTGTCGACGCCTTCCAAGCGATGCGTCGATACATCTATACCGACGAAGTGGTGGTAAGCGATGGCCACGACTTGGATGAGCTCAACGATGTCATGCGATGCGGACATAAGTACCAAGTGCTGCGATTGGTCAACAAAGTGGCCGATAAAATGGCGGCAATGATGACCTTCGATAACGTGAAGACTATCGTCGAAATGGCGAACAAGTATGACGTGAAACCGCTGAAGAATTCGGTCAACGCATTCATTATGGAAAGTCCGTATTTATTGGTCAACTATAAAGACATGGATTACCTGAAGACATTGGATCAGATCACTGGTGGTAAGTTATTTGAAGCGATGGCTAAGTCAATGGTTAAGACATACAACTACTTTGACAAAAGTGATCAATCGTTTGATTTTGATTTTTACCACATGTCTAACAACTGATCCCAAAAATTGTATGTTTTATATCAATCAAAGCTATCAATCGTTGGATTAATTAATCCGTTAATTATAATTACTTTTTGTTTTCAATTAATATAATGAATTGTTTTCCGTATTTAGAAACCAAACAATTGTTTATTTAATTTCGAGATTAAATTTTAAATACATTAAGAAATAAATGTTTCAAACAATTCAAACATTTACTTTGATTTTTCTTAATTTGTTGTAAAAACTAAATAATTAATTAAATTTTGAATAAAATTTACAAATAATTGAAATTAAGTTCTGTTTAGACATAAAAACAAAATGTTTAAAAACTTTTTATATAATTTTAATAATAATTTTAAATTGCATTGAAATTTATTGAATACTAACAAAATTAACGGTAAATTCCTATCAAATTAATTACAAAAACACAAAAAATCATTTAATTTTATTCTACAAACGATTTGTTCACAAAAATATCGATATTTCGCAAAATTTTGCTAAAAAATAATTATTACTTTCAATACAAGTGTTTTCCGTTTTGCGCTACAAATAGACACTAAAAATACAATTAAAACTTTTAATCAATTAATTAATTAAATCAATAATAACTATAATTACCAAGACAACAAATTAAACCTAAATTTAGACCTAAACACAAGTAAGCAATAAAATTACAAATAATTTTGTACATAATTTTCCTATCAATCAATTTTTAAATCTAAAATCAACCAAAAATTTACAAAATACCCAAAAATATGTTCAAATTTTCCTCTCCTTTCGACTTAACCCGAAAAATAACCCAAAAATGGGTCAATAATTGAACCAAAAAATACAGTTTACGGTATAATAAACATACCTATAGTTTAATATATCTAATGGTGTGTGCAATCAGTATTAGTGTACATCTAATTAATAATAATATGCTCAACACTAATGGGTGTACACTACTGGACACAAACATTGTGTGTACACTAATGGACACATTGAAAAGGAACTGACAGTACCTGTGCCTAAAAAACACTACAAATTTGTTGCACAACTCATCGATATATACAGCAAAACAAAAAAAAATCTAATCAATTAATTAATTACAAGACATAAGTGTATGCATTAATGTCTGAAATTTACGCTACAGATCACTGGCCAAACAGCACCGGCCATCTAATCGGGTGACGGCATGCACTTCAACCTATCAAACGCGGCCTTTTCCAGCGCCTGGCGGTGGTCCGGATGGGCGATCTGTATGAGAGCGTAGGCCCGTTGCCGGTAATTGCGGCCAAACAACTCGGCGATACCGTACTCAGTGACCAAGTAGTGGACGTGGGCTCTGGTGCTCACCACACCGGCGCCCTGTTTCAGGAACGGCACAATCTTCGACTCGCCGCGACTCGTGATGGAGCCCATGGCCAGTATGGGCTTACCCTTGCCGTCCAGGCCGTTGGCCGCGCCCCGCAAAAAGTCCACTTGACCTCCAAAACCTGTGCCATAAGTAAAACAATGGTCACAAATGGGTTACAAAATCAATGGCCAGTCAATCACTACAATACACGTACCGGAGTAGACACGGGTGCCAATAGAGTCGGAGCACACCTGACCCACGAGATCCACTTCGATGCAGGAGTTAATGGCCGTCACTTTGGGGTTCTTAGCGATGTTTGCCTCGGCGTTCACGTAGTCGATGCCCATCAT